TCTATGATATCATCCCATAGCTCCTGTACCTTACTCTCGAGGGCTTCTCGCATATCATCAGAGCTCTTTGCGTGCAAAAACGCCACCCCGGCCTCTGCCAGCACATCCTGGTCAGAGTGCGTGAGGAATTGCTTGTTGATATCGTTCAGAAGTGAAGTGTATGCGGTGGCATCCTTTTGCAGATCCTGGATCTTGTCCAAGTCGACCAGATGCTCAAGTCGAAGAACCGCAGACGCCGCTTCCGGAACCGATCCATATTTGTTTAGCAACTGAGGAATGATCTGGGCAAGACTATGTGCAATCTCTTCCTGAAGCTCGGGAATCTTGTCTGTCAATGCCTTCACTTTACGACCTCTTTTGTCAATGTCTGACTTGGCGACGTCGAGGATGCGTAATTTAACCGCACAGCAGAGGACTTCAAGAAGGATAACCTCCTGCCCTTCCTGCATCTTATACAGTTTTTTGATCGTGCCGGTGGCATTGTCCTCAGTAGGATCGTCGGGAATCTGGGAATGGTCGTAGAGGAGGAAGCCAGCCAGAGATTGCCACTGAGAGAGCTCTGCGAAATGCGGGTAGATGGCCTCCGTAGCAAGTACAAACCGTGAGTCTAGGGAGGCGCCCGAAAGTGCGTCCCGCGCTGTGGACAGCTTCCGCTCAGGAGCCAATTCGTTTTCCTGTTCATCATAGGCTTGGAGGATATCAACCAGGCACTTGAACTTGATCCAGGAGCGCTTGGGCGACTCGTAGTCATCTTCGTCTTCGTCGCCAAACACCTCGTTCATCTCATCTCCGACCTCTTCGGTTGTGGAATCGAACACATCTTCCACATTGGCCACGAAAAACGGACCGGCAGCTCTGCGAACACGGGCTTCCACGTCGAATACGAGCCTACCAACGGTGTCAATATCGGCAGGCTCAAGTAATCCTGCATCCCGAATGAGATCGAGTAGTTCGATCGACGAGGCGCGCACGCCGACGTCCGCATCGTGAGCTGCCATCTCCACCATGCGCTGGCGAAAGCGCTCAGTGAACGACCTCAAGCCAGCAATGTTATCTTTGTTAGAATACAGACGCTGGAGCTGCGTCACGACAATGGAGCGCGTCTCAGCGGATGGATCGGAGAGAATCCAGCCAAAGTAGCGAAGGAATTGACCTTCGAAGAAGTATTCTCGATAGGTGTGTATCCAGCGCCCCAAAGCCGCAATGCACTCGCTGCGGATTTTGGCGTCGATGTCTCGGTAGCGGTGGACGAAAACGATATTGACACCATCCTTGAGGTACTCATCAATTGCCTCCAGCTTGCTTTCGCCTTCTTCGATTGTCGAAGTAATCGCATTGACTCTGCCCTGATTTACCGTTTTCTTTTTCTTCTCCGCCTCGAGCTGTTTACGGGAGGTAGAGACAGTGGTCATCACTTCTCGTGCAACATCACACAAGGCGTTCATGATAGTGAGGGAGATGACGGTCGAGGTATGTCTGAATGGTCGACAACCCGAAGTGGACAAGGCAGCTATCCATATTTGAAGATTTTCGTAGAGCTCCTGCTGCTTATACAGAACTGAAGAATGATGAAGAGTCTGTACGAGCGCGGCGAAGAAGTCTTCCAGAATGGGTTGGAACGCTTTAAATGTCCGAGCCTTGGAAATAAGAGGATATTCGAAGATCCCTAGTGCATGATACTCGGTCGACAAGTCATGGATGCGCTCTGGTGCGTGGTCTGGATCATCAATATCCGCATCGCTCACTTCCAGATCGGTCCCTGCACACTTGAGTATGAAGTTGACCATGGCGTGCATCGCAGCCTTGGCATCCTTCTGATACTGGGAAAGCCATTCGGCAGCAACAGTGTCGCCAGTCTGGTTTTTGCCAAAGACCTCCGCTGTTGCGACATGGTAAGCCGATGACAAAGTTGAAAACAAGAGGAAGCAAGCCACCTACCATATAAGCCACTTTGTCCTGCGGCCAAACTGGGCCGTGGTTTCACTTTCCTGGGCCGCGACACTGTTTTCTTGCCATTGACAGCTGGGCGAATTGCCAGCTGACTCGGAACCCCATTACCCGCGACTTTAGGCCTCTTCGCAGCATGTGTCGCTTGAGACTTGGTCTTCTTGCTTTTGGTCCCAGCCGAGGCTCTCTTGGCGGAAGCCTTGCGCGCAGCGCGTCTCTTTTCCCTCAATTCTTCTTCGTCTGGCTCCTCATCACTGGTTTCTTCTGATTCCGACGCGTCGTTCTCATCAACATCCTCCTCCTCGTCTTCATCGCGGGCAGTGTCACGCTTGCGCTTGGCTCCGCCGGGGGTTGAATCACTGTAACTTTGAACAAGGAATTCGGGTCTGCGCGATACACGTCCGGACTTTCTTCTATTTGATGCCTGGGGCGAATCGAGGTCGGTCAGCCCGGGTTCGGGACTCGAAAGAGGCGACTCATTTTCCATTCTTGTAGGTGATAATATAGCGCACTGTAGGATACAGTATTAGTCAGTAAGCTGCATTAAGGTGATCCGAGCATTGACAAGCGAAAATTAAAATGATGAACAGATCGGACTCAAACGAGGGTTGGCCCTATGTTTCTCAGAATGCGACGGGTGTAATGATCAGTTGGGGTCGCGATGTAGCCGTTACGAGTCCCCCTAGGCGCGTTTGCCGCTTCGCGCGAAAAAGTCGGCGAAAACAGACATAGAAACAATACACGTACCTCTCAGATATACAATGACAACATGTGCGATACAATGCTCGAATGTGGTGTGAAAAGTGGGACTCGAGATGGAGAGAATGAGGGGACACGGAATTGAACTGTCTCTCGTGGACGACGCGCCTTGATGCCTGGCGACGGCCTACCGAGCGGCCCAGGCACTCAGGCAAACTACTTGTGCCTCAGGCCATAAAAGCTCTCACAGATAGACGTAAGTAAACTTTATGTTTTGGCTGCCACGGTACCTGAAGTTAATTACCAATTATTACCATACGGATCAGCCAGGGGGTCAGCGTCTCGGACATTTGACCCCAGCCAACCCTGCTGCATATGCGGAGAAAGAGAATAACCATGCCGTAATGAGAATCGTCTTTACTCCATCAAGGCCGCTTCTGAAGCTCAATATTTGAGAGCCAAGAACTCCAGCCTTTTGTCCGTTTCACGAGGTCAATAGAACCCCGCTTCCAGCTGCTAGTTTGGAAGTGATAGGACTGGCGACTGGACAGTTTGACAGCTCTTTGGCTGCCCCAGAAAAGATCTGGAGCGAGAAGGAGCGCACGAAAGGAACCTTCATGACGCCATTCTGCACAGCATCTCTGATTGTGTCCTCTCTGCCTGCGTCGAGATACGGATATATCATGCGGTTACAGCCACTTAGCCCGTCTACTTTTCCCTATCTCCCTATATCCTAATCCCCTTTGCCTAGAACTCGTTGAAGAAGATAAAACACGATGCCAATAATATCACCCTTTGAGTCGTCCATTGCCAAACCAGGTCAAGGCAAAGTCGTTCTATCTCTCCTTCCTCCTTCGATCCCGACCCTGACGACCTTGACTTACAAATATCCACTGAAGCTGCTCACGCGCGCCCCCGGCTTCGTGCCCCAGTCCTCCGGGCTGACAAGCTCTTCTCGACCTGTTCATCTGTATCTTCTCACCTATGGCGGAGGTCTTCTACCGGGCGATCACATTGATGTCTCAATTACGTTGGATCCCCGCACAAGACTCGTTGTGACCACACCACAGGGAAGCACCAAGATCTTCAAGACAGAGCCTACTGCAAGCGTCAAGGGCCAGCGTGGAACACCAGCACGCGCATTTACAGACAAGAGCCGCCAGATAGTCAATGTGCAGGTCGCCAGCGAAGCCGCTCTCTGTTACCTTCCAGACCCAGCTGTACCCTTCAAGGACAGCCGTTACGAGCAGGTACAATCATTCACCGTCGATGGGACATCAAAAGATCACAAGAGAAGCAGCCTGTGTGTGCTGGATTGGGTGACGCAGGGCCGCACCTCACGAGGCGAGAATTGGGACTTCCATCTCTGGAAAGGGAAGAACGAAGTCTGGACACACGACGCCGCAGGCAAGAAGAAGCTACTCCTCCGTGACTCGATTATATTAGACGACGAGATCGACGCGGTATGTCTAGAAAATGAATCAGAGACCTTCAGCCACAACAACTTGATCCGGGAACGTACGCGACCCCACGGGATCATAGGCACCCTGATTCTGTACGGTCCTGTGTTTGAGGATTTAGCCTCATTCTTTATGGATAGGTTCACGTCGCAGCCGCGCATTGGAGCTCGGAACTGGTCGTCCTCTGCCCCTGCGGCCGTGGAGATGCCGCCAAATGCAGACTCCGAAGTGACCTTCACCGCAGCGCGAGTAAGAGGAGGCTTCGTCCTTGTGAAATTTGGCGCGAACGACTTCGAAACGGCCAAGAATTGGCTTGGTGGTATTTTACGTGACGAGGGGACCGTTCCCAAGCAGTTTGGAGAAGAGTCTTTGATGTGTCTGTGACCTTCGTGTCTTTCCGCTTTTGATTTCCCCTACAAAAGTACTTATTGTTATTTTGTCTTCAGCGTAACTCGTTCATGGCGAGTGCGGAGCTGAAAATTACGATGAGAACATAGTGATACCCTGAATTATCCTGCATCAACGCATTTATATTAACGAGACGATTTACTCCAAGTTGAAATACATCCAAGCTTTTCTTAACCATCCTCTTATATATGGGTTCTTCGTGTCTAAATCATATCGATCTATAACAAAATAGTCGTGAAATGGGACAAAACAGAAACTGGAAAACCAAGCCCAAGGTATCATCTATTGGACATCTGGAACCGACGCCGTGAACTCGCAAATGTCGCCAATCAGAAAATGTAAACCCCTTAAGTCAAATTCATAACCAAATACTCGCTCAGGTGGCATAGGCAGCGATGTCATGTCATATCGTCAGATGTCAGGCCAAAGACGATCGCCCAGCAACCATCTCAAAGCCGCGCGACAGTCGATAAAACAGAGTACATCCTACCAATCAAAAATCTTGACCTTCCATTCTTGCTTCGTGGCACTCTGCAAGTCATCCACGTTCAGAATATCAACGCCCTCACGCGCCAGAACGGTCCAGATGTGATTCCTCAGACTCCGGGGCCAGCTAGGCAACCCCCAATAACGCACCTTGAGTCCTCGACGATGAGCGCCCTGGATCTGCGCCCGGATGAGATCCATCTGCTTGTTTGTCAGGTGGAATCCCCAGGGGAACCCGATGGACTTCTTGAACGAGACAGAGGCATAGAAGCTGTTGGTCCAGTTGAAGGTGTCGGGTCCAATGTCGCCGGCCGAGATACCTGACAGGCCTTGGCCGGCGTTTCCGGTAGGTTGCTCGGTGGTGGCTGCCGAGTCCTGTGGGCCATCAGCATCTGCAGAAGGAGGCATAGCCTCGTCTTCAGCCAGGAGGTTTAGTGGCGCGTCGAAGAAGATGTCGCGGTAGGTTGAGTTCGACGTGACCATATTGAAGGGGGTATTTCCGGTTCCGACAACAGTGATTGGGCCGTTGGTCAGGCCCGTGCCGTTGAAGTAGGTGAGATAACCGCGCTCGCGCAGAGGCGACAGATTCTCCATTACACTCTGCCATGTCTTTTCTCCATCGGTTTTAAAATCAATGAGGAGAATGAGGGTTTGAGACGGGTCGGTGTCGAAGACGCCATGTAGGGGTTGATCGAGAGCTGGGTGGAACTGGGTGATTGGATTCTGCCGTTCAATGATCTTGATCAGTGGATCGATGTACATGTTCTTGAGGGTGCGCTTCGCGGTCAGGGACGTGGAGGTATGGCCGACGTAGAGCTCGTTGTCAATAAGCCACACATCGGCCTCGACACCAATGCAACCCGCCTGCAACGCCGCGTACAGGGGTACCCGTCGCCAGTAATCATTGTGTGAATGGCACCCAACAGGGATGATGTCCCGCGAGACATCGGTGGGCCAATGTGTGACGTCTGTGTAAACGTCGTCGTCCGGAACGTGCCGCCAATGGCCAGCGGCTTTGTCGAATTCGTCGGGGAAAAATGAGAGCACAATGCCGCAGACTATCGAGATGAACTGAATGATCCCTCTTTATGGGTTCCAACACAATTAGCGGCCATTGGCGCCGACGGGTGGTGGTGATGGTAGGGTAGCACAAGTACTCACAGCATGATGAAAACCCCCGCAACGGTAAAAAGCAAGCAATATGATACTCTGAGATTCTTGAACCATCTACGCGACGTATATGAGCGTTTCGAGCGTTTAGTGGCCGGTGAGAGCAGAGGTAGAGCATCTTCAATCTTCTCCTCGTTTGACGAGGAGAGCGAAAAAATCCCAGCCAGTCGTTGGCTCCATGTGAGTCGAGATCGGGCCTGGCCCGAACATTGATATTCATCTATTGAGATGCCTGCCTGTAATTCCTCGATAGAAGCATGATTGTCTGGTTTATCGCGCTGCAGTTCGTCTTGGCCGTCGGAGGGAGGGGACGTCGGGACAAATTCGTAGGACTGCGGAGAGCGCCCTTTGCGGGCGGATAAGAAGCCCATGACTGACTGACACTGTGTCTCACCAACTACTGTACAACCGCCTCAATCCATCGTCAATTCTTCAACAGAAAATCGTACAAGGACAGTCATCTCATGTGCATTTATAATTCGAGGGGGATAAAGGTCAAGCATTGCGCACCAAGACCCTCTGGCGAAAAGTGGACGCCTGAATTAATACTCCTAATACTACGTTACCCTCTGGGGCTGTATCTTCTAGAGATCTAAGAACCATCAACATGATTGGGGTCTCGAGTCATCGTTGGCTCGCCGGGGTTGTTGGACCCTGGATTGACCCGTCTCCGTGTGCAGCTCTAGCGCCGACGATTGGACGGTGGGCCAACGAGAGGCTTGAGGCCGTTCCAGAAGTCCGTCCAAAGAGGCCAGCCGTGCCGGTTTCGTTGGTCTCTAAGCGTTTTCAAGCCTAAGGGTCTCACCCCACTCGAAGGCTTAGATTCTACCTTATGATTTGGAAGGATCCAGTACAGAGTTCGTGCTAAGTCCGTCCTCGTCCTTAGCGACATGGGGGTTTAGATACACCGCAAAACAGGCCCCCGAGCAGCTACATAAAAGTGATGGACAAGCAGCTGGTCGACAGGAGGCGCTCTCTAAAATGTCGATCGCTCCCAATAATCGCTGGCTCCCGTGGATATTGTTGGTGAATCTTGAAGATGAATCAAGGTATGCTGGCTAGCATTGTGACAAAGGTGGTGGCCCTGCATTTCGAATTCTGCTGCCTGGCACTCATCCACTGCGCCATTTGCTGCACGAATAGCGTTTCTCTTAAGCACCATTAATGCGCATTTAGAATCCAATCTAGTCCGTTTCAGTCGCTCGATCCGAACGCCTCAGTCCTGAAGCGTAGTAGTGAAGTAGAAAACTCATTCTGCTCGCATGACCAGAGAAAGTGTCGCAATATAAGCTTACGGAAGATATACCCCGGAGGATGCCAGCGATGGCCGACAACAACAGTAGTCACTATTGTATATTAATCCACCAGTATCGATTCAATTGTCTAGATCGATTCTTCCTGATAATGATAGAAGAACATTTAGTATCGTATATTATTGCCCTAGTTTAGGTAGCCATACACGACAAACATTGACATGTGCTATTTCTGAACAGTGACTAGAGTCTGACTCGGATAATATAGGATCTTAAAGCACGCGTCTAGATTTTACTCTGCCTATTGAAGCATCATATCATCAACGATATTGGTGCTATCATCATGGAAGTGGATAACAAAGGTTGCTTCAATCACGTTGAATGTAGCAGTGTATTGTGCCATTGTCAGATCTAAGCGGCCTTATCAGTACCTTAGCGATAGCGATTAGATCTGCCGCCAACCGCCCGAGGAAAAAAAGTTCGCCGACCATCTCAGCTTCAGTCTCTATCAACCACAACCAACAGAACAATATCCCACCATGCCTCACAAGCACAAGAGAAGAAAAAATGACTCGAGGTGAGTATCAAAGGACAATTAATATTAAATACAACACGCTAATCCCACCACAGCATCTACGACCTCCCACCCACCCTGATCGCGAACCCTCTCCCGACCCGCGATCCCAACGCCCCGAAAACCAAAGGCAAAAAGCCCGCCTCCAAGCCCAAAGACGCAAAAAAGAAACAAACCACGTCGACCTTTGCCCGCAGCAAGTCCGACCTGGACGATGATACGCCCCGCGCCTTCCGCCGGCTGATGCAGCTCCAAGCCAACGGCGGCAAGCAAGCACCACCCAAACCCGACGCCAGCGAGACAGGAAGCAAGAAGCGCAAGCGCGATGCAACCGAGTACACAAAGAAGTCGTCGAGGAAGAAGACTGCTGCGTCGTCCACTCCGACTAAGACCGCGGATGCTGCGACCTCTACAACCGCTGTTGCGGAACTCGAGCGCACGTCTAAGTTGAAGATCCTGCCGGGGGAGAAATTGTCAGACTTTGCTGCGCGGGTCGATCGCGAGATGCCGATATCGGGTATGAAGAGATCGGGCAAGCCGGCATCAGGGGATCTGCCTAAGCTGCGCGAGGGGCGGCAGACGAAGCACGAGAAGCACCTCCGTCGATTACAGGAGCAGTGGCGGAAGGAGGAAGCTGAGATCTTGGAGCGCGAGGCGGCCGAGCGGGAGGAGCGGGAGGCCGAATTGGAGGAACAGTTGGATTTGTGGAAGGAGTGGGAGATGGAGGCTGCCCAGGGCAAGGCGAAGAAAAAGGGCGCTGCCGCGAAAAGAAAGAAGAAGGGCGACGGCGCTCTGGAGGATGACGGCCCGGACCCGTGGGCGAAGCTGAAGAAACGGGACCGGATGAACAAGCCGGCGAACCCCTTTGATGTGGTTCAGGCGCCGCCGCAATTGACGAAGCCGAAGGAAGTTTTCAAGGTCCGCGGGGGAGCCCGAGTAGATGTCGCGAATGTTCCTGCTGCCGTGGGAAGTTTGAGACGGAGAGAGGAGCTGGCTAGCGAGCGGAGGACTATCGTGGAAGAGTACCGGCGGTTGATGGCTGAAAAGCGACGTTGATCTTTGGCTCTTGACATGTAATACCCTTTGAGGCTTTCTATGCCATTCATAATAGAGAAGGTTTACTTCGCGCATCACATACACAAGAAAAGTCTTTATGCTTATTGACGAGAAGACATGTCTTCCGGAATGCTTTTGTATATACAATGCATCTATGACCCCATAACACCCAATGAGTACAAAACAAGATCAAACTCTTTACACAACTGTCTGCCATGCTCATGCGTTCTGCAGAGACTTGACATAATCCGCCGCCTTGGCCTTGATCTCCTCCACCATCTTTTCATCACCGCCATTAGCAGCTGCCAGCTTCTCTTCAAACGACAGCCACTTCTTGAAGAAGAACTTGGCCTGCTTGGGACGGAGCTTCTTGCTAGCGTCCATGGGAGCAGCAGCGCCCTTCTTGGCGTCCCGGATACCAAGTACGCGCTCGAAAAGGCGCCGCACCTGCTCCGCATCGCCATTCTTAATTTCCAAGTCCAAGAGTACGTTCCACAGATCAACGCGCTTGGGGAACGAGGAGAGCAGGCCCTCAAAGACAGTCCGGCCACGCTCAACGTCTCCGTTGGCCGAGCGGAACTCCAGCTGACCGAATTTAGAGGTAAGCTCCACGTGCGTATGAGAGGGCAGAGACTGGAGCGCGCGAGGAAGCATAGCACGAGCACGATCGGGCGCCGCCATGCTATCGAACAGGAAGCTGGCGTAGTTCAGGAAGAACTTGGGCGTATTGGAGATCTTCTTCTTGAGAGCCGTCTGGAAGAGTTCATCCGCTTTCTGTAGGGTCAATTGTCAGCATTCGCATACTTAAAAAACATCTCTTCATCACCGATATCAGGTATTACTCACTTCATTCTTTCCTGACTGAATGTAGATGCTCGTCATGCGGTCGTAGATCTCCTGCGTATCGTTGTACTGGCAGGCGCGCTTGAACACTTCGTCGAGACTGTCATCATTGCCGTATGTGTTCTCCAGGTTGAGCAGAGCCACCCAAATGTTCAACTTCTCGGCGTCCTGACCGATGCTGATGGTGCGAAGGGCACGTTCGGCGATGTCCTTGGCCTTCTCGACTTCGCCAAGCTCCAACTGGAAGGCCATGTACTTCAGCCAGAGCAGCGAAGAGTCAGGCTCACCGAGCAGTAGCCGTTCGTAGTCGGCAACTGACTGTGGCCCATTGGCGTCCAACTCGCCGGTCCGATCTACCTGGATCTCAGGCTTGCGGCTCTTCTTTTTCTTCTTCCGAGAGTTGTCTTCATCATCGGAATCCGACTGCATCGCTTCGTCCTCATCGTCTTTGACGTTCCCACTCCAGTCAAAGCCCGTTGCACCGAGGCCCCCGTCTCTTTTAACAGGTGCGCTGGTCATCTCCACATCCTCCTCGCTCTCCTCACCATCACTCTCACTGTCTTCCTCAAGATCAACGCCTCCCATGGATTCGTCATCGTCATCATCCTCGGAATTGTCACTACCTTCCACGTCGACACCACCCATCCCATCTAGGCTGACGCCGTCGGAGTGATCGTCCTCGTCGCTGCCGCTTTCATCTTCCTCATCATGATCCTTGAAGTGGGAAGCCTTCAAGCTGAACGAGATCTTCCCTGACTCACGATCGATCTTGATGATCTTGGCTTTGACGACGTCGCCTTCCTCATACAAGGTGCGGGCGTCGTCAACTCGCTTGTCAGCCATCTCGCTACGATGGCATAGACCGCTGATATTGGCGGAGCGATCGATGACGATGAAGGCGCCGAATTCCTCCACTTTGCGAACCTTGCCAGTGACAACCTGACCGACTTTGAGGTCATGCATCGTGATCGGCGCCTTGTAGTCTGGATCCAAGACAGATTCCTTGAGACTCATCTGCAATCTGCCTTGCTCGGGATCAACAACAGTGACCCGTCCCTTGACTAACTGGTCGACCTGGAAAGAGTCCTTCCACTCCTTAAGGTAGGAGTCCGACAAGTCAGAGACACGAACGTAGGCCGTTACATCGTGGCCCAGGGTTACAAAGAGACCGCTATCAGCCACTCTCTTGACAAATCCTCGAACCACATCGTTGACCTTGAGTTGCTTCATAGAAGTGATTTCGGGATCCTGCACCGGCAGTGAGGAACTCAGAACTTTCGACGGGCGGAGAGAGAGGGAAATCTTCTTGTTGGCTTTGTCAACACCCACCACGCAAGCACGGAGCACCTCGTTCTTGTGGTAGACAGTAGGGTTCGCCTTCGAGTAGTCATCGGCCAAATCAATTAGATTGACGGCACCCACGACCGAGTCGCTGAGCTGCATAATGACCTGCTTCTCCGTGACCTTCGTGACTCGTCCGGGAAGAATCATGCCAATGGAAACGTCTTCGAAGGACAGCTTGCTAGACCGTTGCTTGGCTGTAAGATCTAGGCGACCCTTTTCGGTGTCGACGGCAGTGACATGGACCTTCAGCGCTGAGCCAATCGGAAAGTGCTTCTCCACGTCCGCAAAAAGAGACAGGTCA